CCAGATAACGGTCTTCAGAGGTAGCTGTTTTTCTTTTTCTACCAGAACCTTCTTTTCTTTTGATGCTTCCTGTCTCAATGAACTGTTCCAATATTCTGCTGACCACAGATTTATTCACATTTAGCCATTTTGCTACTTCAACTTGTGATTGCCCTGCCTCCATTCTTCCAACAGCTCTCCATTTTAAATCACTGCTAAATTTTTCGTAAACTCATAATTAACTAAGGATTAAATAAAATTATAATTGGACAATTCTTAGATAGGGTAAACGACACGCCAAATAGCACACTTATAAAGACAAGCAAAAATTTCCATATTTTCAATTTTACCGAATCGAATGGTTGCGATAAATAAATTCTACGACTTAAAATACCTAATTAAATTACTTTTCAGCTTTTAGGGTTGTATATTTTAAAACATATCATTAAAAAACAAAAGTTTCTTATTTTTTGGACACCAGTGTATATCTTTAATTAAAAAGGCATATATTGGATCAAAAAATCATTTATTTTACCAATATTTCAGTTGGCTGAACGCCAACCATTATCAAGGTGTTATAAAATTTTAAAGTGTGATTCAGCCAACTGAAATATTGGTAAAATAAATGATATTTTGATCCAATATGATTTTTGATTATATATATATATGAAAAACAATAGTTCTCGTGTTCAGGAGATGCCTTCTTTATTTTTAATATATATATATATATAGAATATAATAGATAGTTGGAAAATTTGCCGGGAGGAAATTAATCCATGGAAGCAATGGTCGCCTCTCCCGTCAAAATAAACGTCAGAATCTGACGCCATCTATTGACCGTCGCCGCAACTAGCGGCATCGGGTCGGTGACAAAGCCACAACACCAACTTTGGCAAACTGATAAGCGTCCACCTAGAGACCATGGTTTCGGGCTAATGGCCCTCGTCAGTCTAGGGCGGACTTTATTCCATGAGATCCACACAGGATCTAATGGAATCCTCACAATCTACCAAAGAGGTGTTTTACTGGCAATGTGGCTGGGCCAAATCTATTGGCAAAACATAGATGTTTTACGAATAAATGAACTCTGTAGATTTGGTTAAACTTATACAAATAAAAGATTACACGAGGAGCTTCTTTTCCGTTTAATTGCTAGCTTTCGAACCTTGCGGTTCTTCAACAGGCGTGGCTAGTACAACAATACTAACAAGATAAAAGCGCGCTTGAGCCATTATATACAACATCCAAATTTACATACGAAGGGATATTTCAAATATAATTAAAATAGAAATAAGAATTATGACTATAAAATATAAAACTATGCTAATAAAACTTAAAAATTATTAAAATTAGATAAAATTTGGGAAATACATTTATATACGCTAAAAGTTGGAAATGAACAATAAGCAGGGGTCCCTCCGACCAGGTTACACTATGAGGGTTATCTAGGGCGACGCGGAACATATTTATTGCATTAAAACATGGTAGGCTTCAGGGAGATCTATTTTTCTGTTAATACTGTTGGTTTGAGTGGAGATGATGGATTCTAGAAATAACCTAATCTGCTTATTACGTATATGTTGATAGAGAATCTTAGGGTGGTCCAGATTAAACTTATGGCCTGTGTGTAATATATGTTGATATATAAGGGATTTAGGATCTCTATTATTTATATTGCGTTTATGTTCTGTCATCCTGATATACGCGGTTCTCCCAGTTTCGCCCACATAGGAGGCTGGGCAATCCTGGCAAGAAACCGCGTACACCGCGCCAGTGGAATGGATGGGGTTGTTAGGTTTATCTGCTTTGGTGATGGGATTCCTGAGCAGGGTGGCAATACTGGGAGGACTATTGTAAAATACCCGAATGCCGTAAGGGCGAAGAATTCTGGAGATGGCAATGGAGTCCGGGGAAAAAGGCAGGAGACAAGTGGCTCTATATACCGTGGTTGACTTTGGAGCAACGGGATCAAACGAATGTTTATCTATGAAATATCTGGGATATCCTGCAGAGGTCAAAAGGGAAATGATTCTGGATTTTTCTATGGTTTTGAATATGGGTAAAGAGCAATGTGTATATATTCTTTTAGTTAAGGTCCTAACTGTATTGATTTTATAGGCTATGGGACTATTGGAGGAGAAATGGGTATAGAGAGGTGGAATGGTCTTTTTGTGGAATACTGTTGTATGTAACTTGTGCGGGGTGCGGATAACCAGGATATCTAGAAAGGGTAAAACTAGGTCTATTTCAGATTCGTGTGTAAATTTAATATCTGCATGGAAAGTGTGTAGAGTATCAAGTATGTGTCGGAGCTTATTGGTTTTGGCTATGCAAAATATGTCATCTACATATCTCCTCCAATAATGAATGTCAGAAGGCAAGGTTTGGTTGATCCACCGGTCCAGGGATCCCATCACCACTTCAGATACTATGGATGAAAGTGGGCTGCCCATTGGGGTTCCTCTAATCTGTTTGTAGTATTGGTGGTTGAAAGTGAAAGTGCTGATGGAGAGACACAAGGTGGTCAGCTGTGTTATCTGGGCTATTACTTGCTTGTCAATATTGGCTGTTCTAAGAAAGGACTGAAGTGTGTCTGTAATGAGAGTGTGTGGAAGGGAGAGGTACATCGAATGAGAACATGGTATGTTGTGCCGGAGGTTGTATTTGAGCTATTTCTTGTATGAAACTAGGTGGGTGAGTGATATTGTACTGGTTGGGGTTGTTTTTCATGATGGGGGACAATAGATTAGATAGAAATTTAGCTAATAAATATGCCGGGGAGAGATGGTAAGCGATGATGGGTCGGAGTGGGACCCCTGGCTTGTGTATTTTCGGAGTGCCATACATATACGCATCGTGTCCCAAGGAACTAGTGAATTGAGCGTATTGTTCATTGGTGATGAAATTCGCCTTCTTCATGTTCCTGAGCGATGTCTTGAATGATTTAATCATGACGTCTTTTTCCTGTAGTGAAATATTTGTGAACGTGGAGCTGTCTGTAAGTATATTCATCATCTTTTCTTCATAATCCGATCGATTTAACAAAACCGTTTGGTTTCCCTTATCTGCCTTAGTAATGACCAGAAAACGAGCCTTCTGCAGTTTACTAATAATGGGGCGATGGATATGTGCAGATGCCAGCCGATGAGAGGGTCTGTGTAAGACTTGAGCAACGGAATGTCTTATCTTGAGGGATTCCTGGTGGTTCAGAGCACTCATTACACTTTCTACTCCGGCAATCATTCTGGGTATGTCAGGTTTGGCAGGAGGAATGTACTGCAATCCCATTGACAACATCCTCTCCTCCTGTTCAGTTAGGGAAACAGAGGTCAAGTTGAGTATTCCTGTAGGGGTGTTATCTCCAAAGAGTGCGGATTCCGGGAAGCGATACTTTTTTACCCAAAAGGATATTTTTGTTTGCTGCCTGTCTATGAGGATTTTTTCGCTGAGTTTAATGTCGTTAGTGATGGACATGATTATATCTGTGAACTCTTCAGTAGACATAAGCTGGGCGATATGAAAGATGAGGCCTTTGATTGTTTTGGAAAGAAACCTGATGTTAGAATAGCATCCCTGGATCCTCGAGTCAAGTAGGTCCTGTTGGAACTTCTTGGTTAACTTATCAGAGAATGGGTTTCTCACCGGGTCTTTAATGCGGAGGGGTGGGGGAATGAAATTATGGTTCTTACATAACTGATTGAAGCGTAAATGGCATCTCCATCTCGCCAGTTGTACTGATTTTTTCTTAAGTTTGCGGAGATATAAGGATCTATCAGAATTTGGATGGCTCATGATTGTAGAAAGTTTATTTGTATAAGTTTAAAACATAGATGGAAAATTTGCCGGGAGGAAATTAATCAATGGAAGCAATGGTCGCCTCTCCCGTCAAAATAAACGTCAGAATCTGACGCCATTTATTGACCGTCGCTGCAACTAGCGGTATCGGGTCGGTGACAAAGCCACAACACCAACTTAGGCAAACTGATAAGCGTCCACCTAGAGACCATGGTTTCGGGCTAATGGCCCTCGTCAGTCTAGGGCGGACTTTTTTCCATGAGATCCACACGTAGGGCTTCCAATCCCGATAGGTATTTTCAATCCCGGGATTCGGGATTGCTTTTTTCTCAATCCCGGGATCCCGGGATTGAAAAACATTTTCGTCTCTCTACGCCAAGAGGTATATCGTTTCGTTCGTTATATTTTTAATTTTTTCTTTTATATAGTGCCAATGACGTGGCACTTACTTCGATGAAAACAACCTGAAAGCCATATAATTTGCGCCTGCTTATGAACTAAATCATTGCTTTTGGGTTACAGTTTGAAATTATCTGTCAATTACTGTACACACATCTGGAAAAAAATTACTGTTCTTGGAACTCTTAGACCACATCTCTTAATGCAGTGTTGGGCAGTAATCCATTCAAAGTAATACATTGCCTTGTAATTACGATTACTTTGCAATGCATTGCAAAAAAAATAATTGCATTAGAATGTAAACATAATTACTCATAATTCTATATATAATGAAAGCAATTGTGATTAAAATTACTTGTAATTGTAATTATAGCAAATGTAATCATGATTATTTGCAATTGTGATTATAGAAAATGTAATCATTATTGCATTTTGCCCAACTATATATTAATGTTTAGAAAGAAGACAGCACTGTTTTAAAAACCATTAATTACTTTATTTTAAGGATAAAAATTCAATTTCAAGAAATATTTGAGCGTAGGAAAGATAATTTGCCAAGAGTGTCTTCATGCAAACTAGAACGTATCTTATTGCATAGGTATCCAGAGGAGGAGAAGACTTTCCGATTCCACAGACGTTGGAGGAATTGTCAGCAAGTATTGATACACACTCTCTAAATGGGGTCCTCGTTTGCCTGACTGAGCAGCAATATTAAGTTTGTGGTTAATCATAGTTAAGTAGGATGCGGAGTCTGGTGTAGGTATTGCAATTGAAGTTGAAGAGGCAGCCTCAATAGCTTCTTGCAATCGGCGCTCAATTGTAAGATGGTCATTCGATTGTGGTGGCTCATGGCTGGTTAAACCGTTTGGTTTTCGACCACTAGGACCTGGGTTCGATTCCCGCATTGGACACTTTTTTCTGTTTAAAGAAAAAAAAATGCTCCAATGGCCCCCGATTCTTGCAAAAGTCCAACCCCACCAGCGAGTGCAAGTAACCAAACGGGGCTCTGGCATTAGTAAGTGAAAGTCGAACTGCTTTCCACATGTGTAGACATGTGGTGCACTTACAGTAAAAGCAGTCGCTAACTACCCACCATGATTATCATGGCCTGTACCACGTGTACTAGGGATAAGCAAAAAAAAAATGGCGTTCTTGTAAACTCTGAGGAAGTTGCGAATTATCAGCCTGAATTCTTACTTCGGCCATTTGTTCCTGTAACGATTTAAGATGCAAGAGCAATTTCATGCTAAAGTCTTTGACCTTCTTCTTTTTTCTAACTGTGCTTGCGGATTTTGCAGATATTGGAGGACTAAAGATGTATTATTGCATCGATCTTCTAAAATTATCTTTTGAAAAGATTTTTGCGGATCTTTGCTGAGAGAATGAGATTGTGCTTGCAGCTCCTCTAGAAGAAACTTTACTGTTGCTTCTGCAGTCAAAAGCGTAGTGTCGCGTCTACAGATAGCCGCCACAGCTGCCCGAAATGGTTTCAGTGCGGAAATTACTTGTGTCATGATATCAAAATCTTCATCAGTTAGACGGACATTTGCATTCACATCTATTAGTGCCTTCTGAATCGCTGACTTCACACTGAGAAGTCTCTCCAACATGTTCAATAAACTATCCCAGCGCGTTCTGCAGTCGAGAATGAGACACATACTGGTGGAAATGCTATTATCTTGCCGCATGTAGTTCAGTAAGATCTCGTTCTTCAGCGGCGATCTTTGAACAATTTCACAACCACACGAGTAATACACCAGTAATCCAGGGATTTTTCAAGCAGAATCCCGGGATTTCGGGATCATTATTTGGCTCCGGGATCACGGGAAACGGGATCCCGGGATTGGAGGCCCTATCCAACGGGATCTAATGGAATCCTCACAATCTACCAAAGAGGTGTTTTGCTGGCAATGTGGCTGGGCCAAATCTATTGGCAAAACATAGATGGAAAATTTGCCGGGAGGAAATTAATCCATGGAAGCAATGTTTTGCCAATAGATTTGGGCAGCCACATTGCCAGCAAAACACCTCTTTGGGAGATTGTGAGGATTCCATTAGATCCCGTGTGGATCTCATGGAATAAAGTCCGCCCTAAACTGACGAGGGCCATTAGCCCGAAACCATGGTCTCTAGGTGGACGCTTATCAGTTTGCCAAAGTTGGTGTTGTGGCTTTGTCACCGACCCGATGCCGTTAGTTGCGGCGAAGGTCAATAGATGGCATCAGATTCTGACGTTTATTTTGACGGGAGAGGCGACCATTGCTTCCATAATAGATAGTTATAGGAAAAAATATATATCAATAAAATAATGTATAGAGATATACCAGAATATATAATATATGCCGCATTTAAACTATATACATATTTTAAGGAAGTGAAACATTTGTCAGTGGGGTGGATAAAAAAAGGATAGAATCAAAAACTCAAAAAGGTTTTATTTATCAATATAAATTTTGAATTATGAGCACTGAGCAAAGAAATGAGAATAACAAAAAGAAAAAAAAAAGAGAAATAAGATGATATGAGACAAAAAGAAAAAATATCCCCAACAAAAGTCATTTAAACAATAAATAAAGCAAAAAATAATATTAACAAGCCATTTTAACCGAGAAAAATTGACAAGAAAAATTATAATAAAAATTAACAACAATTTTGGATATAAAATGGCATTGGATATAAAAATCGCAGTCTACTCTTGTAGGCGTGTGTTCGAATCCCATCAATTTTGGATATATAAATCTTAGCATTCTCTATCATTAAAAATTGGGTTAAATTTTAACACCACTTTATAAAAACAATTAAAAACTATTTGTACAGCAATCTATATATACTGCAATGTGATGAAATCTCCTGGAGGTATCACCAATGATGAGTCAGACCTTCCTATTAAACATATTAAGGACATTGCATTTGGAAGGTCAGTAGACAAGTGGTCTAAAACATTGGTTTTCTGCCGCTACGACCTGGGATCGAATCCCACATTGGGTACTTTTTCTAATTAAAAAAAAATGCTCCAATGGCCTCCACCAGCGTTGCAAATTATTAAACGGAGTTTTGGAACACTTGTAAGTGCAAAAGTGGAACTGCTTTTCACATATGTAGACATATGATGCACTTGCAGTAAAAGCAGTTGACACCATGATTATCATGTCCTGTATCACGAGTACTAGGGATAATAATAATAAAAAAGGATAATTGCAGCATAAGGTCTGTAGAGAAATAATTATAAGTATTAAAAAAAGTAACCGAAAAAGCATTAAAATTTTATCAAATTTTAAAAGATGTATTGGGAGTATAAATAAATTTGTGCGGTTTTGATAAAGATGGCGCTACTAGTTTATTATTCCATTGTTTCATCTGGAAACACCATTATTTTGAAGTGTCATCATAAGGCTTCCTTTTTCTCTGAGGTTTAAACAACCTAGTTTCTGTTTGCTTCTAAAATGTCAACACTTGTACCAAATAATGTGTTTTTGCGGGGAGTTCTACTTCATTACTTAAATAAGAAGAAAAAAGCTGCTGAGAGTCATCATATTCTAGTGGAAGTTTATGGTGACCAGGCTCTGGCTGAACGAACATGTCAGTAGTGGTTTGCACGGTTTAAAAGTGGCAATTTTGATTTTGAAGACGAAGAAAGACCCGGAGCGCCACCAAAGTTTTAGGATGAAGAATTAGAGGCAAGGCTCGATGAAGATCCAACACAAACGCAAAAGGAACTCGCAAAAATACTTGGAGTCACTCAACCAGTCATTTTTAATCACTTAAAAGAAATGGGAATGATCCGAAAGGTAGGAAATGGGGTGCCGTATGAACAGAAGCCAAGAGATGTTGAACACTGTTTTTCCCATTTGAACAACTGCCCTAACGTCAAAAAAGAAAGGGTTTTTTGCATTGAATTGTAATTGGCGATGAGAAGTGGGTCCATTATGATAGTCCAAAACATCGGGCAACGTATGAATACTCTGGCCGTTCCTCATCATCGACGGCCAAGCCGAATATTCATGGCAAGAAGATTAGACTGTGTATTTGGTATTTGGTGGGACCAGATAGGAGTGGTATATTATGAGCTGCTACAACCGAATGAAAGAATCACAGCGGAGATCCACCGAAGAGAATAGATGCGTTTGAGCCAAGCATTGTGATAAAAACGGCTATAATATGCCAATAGACAAGACAAAGTTATTTTGCAACATGATGATGATCGGCCACATGCTGCAGCATCCATTAAAACTTACTTAGAAAAGCTTAAATGGGAAGTTTTACCCCACCCGCCGTATAGCCCAGACATTGCTCCTTTCGATTATTATTTATTCCGATCAATGCAACATAGCCTGGCTGACCAGCACTTCTCCAATTATGATGAAGTCAAAAAATGGATCGATGAATGGATAGCGGCCAAAGAGCCGGCCTTTTTTTCCGCGATGGGATCTGTCAATTGCCAGATAGATGGGAAAGTAGTGGCTAGCAGCGGACAATACTTTGAACATTGAATGTCTAGCCAATTTTTCACAATCAAATTTCAATTTTCGAAAAAAAAAAATGCACAAACTTATTTATATACTCCTAATATTTCAAAAAAATAAGTTTTTATATTTTTTACAAAATATATCCCAAGTTAAACAAAGGAAGGACAAAACAATAATAAAAGAGAAAAAGAGATTCAACCCCAAAAAAAGTAGATACGGTGAAGAAAAAGTTAGATGAAGTATTGACATCTACTGAAAGCACCTATTATTGACAACACAGATAGAATCTTTAACACAAGCCAGGCTTTAAACCTAGGTAGTCAACCCTTCTCTCTATACTGGTTTAACATCTTTGACCTTCAGATTTAAATGAAATCAACAGTTAAAAATAAATTTTCCAGAACAAAAGTGAATAAAATGTAATATACAGTAAAACCCCACTAATACGAACCCTGGATATAACGAACCTTCCCTTATAACGAACTCACGCCGATTCCCAATTCCATTCCATTGAAAATACCATCGTTATAACGAACTTTGCAATTTTTAGAATAACGAACTACCCCTATATCGAACCTATTTTCGGTCCCAAAATAATAAAATATATTTAAAATACTATGCTTATAACAAACTTAGAATTGTAATTTAAAAAAAAAAATTGAAACAACAAAATTTTAAGCATGTTTCAGCTTACGGATCGCAATTTCAAAACAATGAATTTAGCGGCATTGTTTGTTTTGATTTTTGCACTTTATTTTTGCTGTATGTTGTATAATTTTTACATATTATACTTTTTATTAAATAGAATATCTTTGCTTCCATTAAATTTGAAATATAAAAAATGCAAATGGCTTCCAAAATGAAGAAAACAAAGGCATTTTAAAAACAAAAACGTTATTTCTCTAAAAAAAAAAGGCCATTTTCAAAACTTTTCAAAGTGAAACAACACAGGTAAAATGTTAAGAACATATTAAAATAATAGAATATAACTTTTCTATTATAAAAGATAAAATATAAAGCTATTAAAAATTGTTACAAAGAGGAATCAACCTCAACTGTTGCCGCGATCGCGATCGTACGTTTTAGGGAAAAAAAAAAAAAAAAATCCAAATAAACGGTCTCGTGATTTTTATGCCATGAACTATGGTGATTTTGAAGACAGCAATGTTTTGCATAACAGATTTTAAAAAAACGAAATCAAGAATTGGAAGAATATGTGGAAACATGAAATGGGAAGAAAAACACTAACTTTATTTGAATGGTGCAATGCTTGAAGAGTGCTTTGAAGCAACAAGGTATTAGAGTCATTTTTTCCAAGTAAACATGGTATTATATAATGTGATTAAGATGTTTTAAAATCATTTTTATATATTTGAATATATATTTAATAAAACCTTGCCTAAGATTTGTCTTGATTTTTAAATTAGACATACAGGTACATGTAT